GTCCTCAGTTTTAAGATTGTTCATCTGCAGGTAGGCTGTGCTTTTGGAATTATCTCTGGAGATGATGAATCTGTCCTTCACTGAATCAGCATAATTTGTTGCGTAATTATTACTTTGACTGCTTATGCGAGCAACCCACTCAAGCCCCTTCCCAGGAGCCTGGCGGACCCAGTGTATGGCAGCGCTAGTGAAGGTGAATCCAGAGGTTGCACAGGAGAGCTTCAATGACCCCTTAGGCTGCACCAATCCTCCCCCAGACTCAACGAGCTGAACCTCACAATGGGCACCTGCAAACAAAGAGGATCTTGATCAAGAAACTGTCACAAAAGTCTACTGTATCCCTCACTCATGTCTACTCATACACTCAGTTTCCCTTGTTATTTACCTTTTAAAAGAACAACCAAAATGACACAGTTCAGCCCCAACCCCATGTTGATTGTTCTGTTTTCAGTGCTGATCTCCAAATGGGAAGACAGGGCTAGAGTCCTCTGCCTGACCTGCAGGGTCAGGACAGGGCTGGTTTTCATGAGCAGAGGAAGGCCATATTTGCATATCTTGCTGCATATCTTATGGGCTGATCTGTGATCTTTTGGGACAGCAGTTAATACTGCAAAGGTCTGAAAAAAATGAAGTAGCAAAGTAAGCATGATTTCATCAAAATGCTGTTCATATTGTATTTGCTATAAAACGTAGCAACTTTAATTTATGATTATTGTCCACACTCACCTTTCATTGCCTGTCTTACCAGATATTATACAATAAACTCATAGGAAGTTTTGAAATAAAAATTACAATGCAATAATTTTAGTGTAATTAAGAAACTTCAATGATAACTGAAAGGATATAAAACATTAATGTAACAAAACTGAACTGAGGGCATAGCATAGTAGGACAATGTAGCACCCACAATGTCCCATGATTTATCCTCATTATTAAAAAGATAAAGATCTGATCTACAGAATATATAAAGAACTCAAGAAACTGGACATCAAAAATCTAATTAACCCAATTAAAACATGGAGTACTGAACTGCACAGAGAATTCTTATCAGATGATGTTCAAATGGCCAAAAGATACTTAAGGTCATGTTCAACCTCCTTAGCTATCAGGGAAATGCAAATCAAATCAACTTTGAGATACCATCTTACACCTGTCAGAATGGCTAAAATCAAAAACACCAATAGCCTATGTGGAAAGGATGTGGAGAAAGGGGTACACTCATCCATTGCTGGTGGGAATGCAAACTTGTGCAACCACTTTGGAAATCAGTGTGGTGGTTTCTCAGGAAATTGGAAATCAATCTACTTCAGGATTCAGCAATACCACTTTTGGGAATATACCCAAGAGATTCCCATTCATAATACAAAAGCATCTGTTCAACTATGTTCATAGCAGCATTATTTGTAATAGCCAAAATCTGAAAACAACCTAGATACCTGTCAATGGAAGAATGGATAAAGAAAGTGTGGAATAGATACACATTAGAGTACTACTCAGCGATATAAAATAATGACATTTTAAATTTTGCATGCAAATGGATGGAAATAGAAAACACTATCCTGAGTGAGATAAACCAGACCCAAAAAGATGAATATGGTATGTACTCACTCATTAGTGTCTCTAGCCATAAACAAAGGACATTAAGCCTATAGTTCACAAGCCTAGAGAAGCTAAGTAATAAGGTGAACCCAACGACAAACATATATAGATCTTACT